CACACACACACACACACACACACACACACTCACACACACAGCTGGACAATCTAAGTTTACCATTTTATATAGCTATGTAACTGCTTAATAACTGAAGACTATTTGTTTTCAAAATCTGTATTTCCCTCCAGCATAGAATCTATTCTCTCAAGCACACCTAATGTAAAATTTATGAGAAAAGCATATATGACTGATCATTGTTTCTGACAAACACGCTACACATTTCTACAAAACCGTAAGCATCTGACACGACACAGACAACGCATGAAAGGCTTTACAGAAGTTTAAACTGTATTGAAAGAGGACACTGGTTATTCTAGGAAAGGAAAGGAGTGAAAAGAGAAAAAGGACTAAAAAGCCATTTAAACAAAGACTCCATTGAATGGAGTGAATAATCTCCCAATCTACCACGTAAGTCAATGATCCCAGGCTGTTCTCGCTGGAGCTCTGCCCGACCCCACTGCCATCTCCACCCTACACACAGATGTCAAGGACCATCTCTCGGCTATCTCTTCCCCATTATGTGGGACTTCTGTTGAAAAGCCCTCACTGATTCTCCACAGGATAAAATCCACACCCCCAACCTCACTCTTATGGTTCCCCATAATCTGCAACTGGCCTTCCCGTTCATCCCACTCTACTCCCCGAAATGAAATCTCCATTCCAGCCAAATTGGTCTCATCATCCTCACTGAGGTGTGCTGGCTTCTTCTCAGCTGTTTCCAATCTGACAAGGTTCTACTCCTTACTTACAACACCAGTGGGTTCCCAAACCTCCAGCAAACCTTCTCCACTCTAACCTACAACCAACTCTTCTTGCTCCTGTCAGTTAAAAGACCCACTCGTCACTGAATTATTATTTTTATTAGCGTGTGTGTCTGTGTATCCTCTGTTTCTTCAAGAACTTAGCACAAAGCAGAGAGGATATGTTCCCTAGATTGAATCTTATTCAACTCAAGGGCAATAAACTCAAGGACAAGGGCCTCTACCTTATTTACCTCTTTTTATCTCAACCCCAATATGTAACACATTGTCGGTGTTAAGCATTTTCTGATTGCTACGTAACTGAACTCAGCAGTAACCCTCCAGGTTTTACAGAGCTGCCTCCAATTTTTTGCCTCCAATTCCATATTTATGGAATATTCAAAGTGTCAAGACATCAAAATTACATAAATCCAACAAGGATTTAGCATATGCAGGAGGCATCTTACAGGGCACTTCAAAATAGAAATCCCTTAAACACCCAATTCTGAAAATGCACAAAATGCTGTGTTTGCAAAACAACGTAAAACACCTGAGAATAGACACAGTCTGCCCTCGCTGATCGTTATTCTTGCTTGCTGCAGCTACTCCCTCCACCTCAGGTCCTTCCTGGACTTCCTTCTCAGATGTTAATAGAATGGCTCAACTGGTTAGGCAAATAACTGACCTAGCCTGCCATTTCAAACAGCCTAATCAAGCAATTTCCAAACACGCATGCCACTTAGAAGTAGGACAAGGGAAACTGGACACAAAAGAATTAAGTGACCTGCCCAACTGTCATGTAGCCAGGCCCTAACAGTGAAGGCAAATTAACTCAGATGTCCTCACTGAAGTTCAGGCTTCTCAATCTTTGATAGGAACTAGAAGTAAACTTGACGGGGCAAGCTGGGCAAACAGTGTCTTCCCAACTTGTCAAAAGTATGTACGCTAACGCTGTGTTAGTGTCTTCTGGCAAAGAATTTAAGTTAACTAAACACGAGGGAAAAAAAGACACTTTCTGGTTGCTTTCTTAAGCATGATTATAAATTATGCGTATCGTAAAGGACAAGAATCAAAAGGAATAAGATACTAATTTACAAACTCAAGGAAGTCTACATTCCGGGGAGGAAGGCTGACAGCTGGCCCCCCAGATGCACTAGCCGCTCCTGGAACACCAAGCATGTGTCCCGTTTGGCAAAAAAAAAAAAAACAATATGCAGTCACATAAATAGCTTCCTACCAGTGGCCAAACTGGCTTTGCCATCTGCTTCTCTCCTCAGCTCCCTAGCTCGAGAGCTGCTGAAGCCAGTAAGAGAGGGTACACTCCCCCAGCCGGTGACGCTGGTTAACACCAAGCTACAGCAGGAAAGAGTCCTTCTTGGGCACTACACACACACACACACACACACACACACACACACACACACAGCCCTTCTCCCTGCCTCCTTTCCACACTCATCCTACATAGTTACAGCTCCTCCCTTCTTCCCACCAACACTTACCCAATGCCAAGGCACTGGAGAGCCATCCATCAAATAGACCCAGTCGTCACATGTCCCAAACAATACTTCCCAGTCCTCATTTTGCAACACCCAAGAGGTCACAGTGCCAAAGGGAACTTTGGACGTCATCCAGAGAAGTTGAGTGACTTGCTTCCCAAATTACAAGGATGGCTCACTTCATTCTCCTCATTAAAACTTATTTCGACTCATTCACTAAGTTGAATATTTACTGTTCCAGGCACTGTGCTGAGTATTTGAGGCACTTTTTCAGTTTAATCTTCCTTAACACAAGGTGGGGGTGGGGGGCTGACATTCATATTTTCCCCAGAGGTGATGTCCATAAACAAGTGTACAACGGACAAGCTGGGCATTCCTGAACTGGGAAACTAGGGAGAAGACAGACCCTAACAACACAGACTTGCGAAGCTGGACACTACTCCACCCGTGTGACGCGTGCGCAGGTCTTTTTAAGAGGGGACAGGGAGCACTCAGAGGCATCCTCAGAAAGGGCTAGGGGGCGACAGGCGTGGCCAGGCCGCCCAGCTTCTCACTGAAGCTAATGCCTCCCCATTAACAGCAGCATCACCAACTCAATGTTCCCGCAGGAATGAGAGAGAGAGAGAGAGAGAGAGACAGACAGACAGACAGACAGACAGACAGACAGACAGACAGAAACAGAGAGAGAGAGAGAGAGAGAGGGAGGGAGACAGACAGAGAGAGAGAGAGAAACAGAGAGCAAGAGAAGGGGAAGGGGGAGGGGGAGAGAGGGAGAGGGGGAGAGGGGGAGAGAGAATATTTCTCCTGTGGCCAATTCACTTCCGAGTTTTTCAAAGGATAAAGAACCGGGAGGCAGGCATCCCGCTTAACCGGATAGAATTCCCTGTTTGCTGGCAGCGCTCCATTGGGCCGGAGAGCAGGTCGCTCTGCTCGCCCTGAGAAGCCCCAATCTTTGACCCCCTCCCCGGCGCAGGGGGAGGGAAGGAATGTGCGGCGGGAGGCAGCTCAATGCCAGGTGGACCTTCTGGTTTAGCACAATGAAGGACCCGGGACAACACTGTCCCGGAAGATCAGAAACTGACACGGAAAGGGTGCAACTCAACACCCAGCAGGTTTTCAAAGAATTCCCAAGAAAGTCCTTTTTGAGAGGTCACGGGACAAAACTAGTAAAATTGATGTTTGTTTCGTATAAGACTCTGAGCAATAAAAACTGCCCTCGGGCGGTCCCGCGGGGAACGCAGGCACGGAGGGGCGCCTGGCTCCGGCCGCAGAGGGGACGGAGTGGGGAAGGGGACTCCCAACCGCCCGCCTCGGAGCCCGGGAGGTACCACCCCAGGGCTTCCCGGTCCCGAAGCCTCCCGCTCCTCGGGCTGCCAGCCCCGGGCACGGGCTAGCGCGTGTCCCCCTGGGCGAGGCTGCTCCTGGCCCTGCCGCGCCGCAGCACGCCCGCGCCCAGCGCCCAGCTCCCAGCTCCCCGCTTACTTTTGGTCGCCGCGATGAGGTTCTTCCCGTCCTTGATGAGCTCTTTGATGAACTTGTTGGTCCTCTCGAGCTCCGCTTCGTGCGCGCGGATCCTCTCCCTGAACCACGGGCTGTCGAGGTAGCAGTCGCTGAACTCCAGGGGCTGCAACCCCATGGCTGCAGCGGTCGGCGCGCTCCCGTCGGAGCCAGGCTCCGGGGCCGCGGCCAGGTGCGGGGCCGCACAGGCAGGAAGTCCAGGAGAAGCTAGCAGCCCCGGGCGCACGGCGAGCGCGGCGCGGACATGTCCCTCGGAGCCGAGTCGGGCCGCTCCGAGCAGCCGGCGTCCTCCTCCCGGCAGCCCCGCCGAAGCCCGGGTGCCCACGGCCCCGCCCCGCCCGTCCCCCGCGCGGCGGACCCTCCCCGAGGCTCCGGGCCGCCCCGCCCAGGGCTCCGCCGCTCGCCCCCTTCTTTTTCCTCCCTTCTCCTCCCCTCCCTTCCCTTCCTTTCCCCGGACGCCTCTTCCTTTTCTTCCCCACGCGCAGTTGCCCCTCCTCTTCCTTCAGAGGCTCTCTCGCTCTAGAATTCCGTCCCGCGACTCGTCCCCACCCCCGGGGCGCCTGTCCCTCCCTTTTTCTTAATCTCCCCTCTTCGGGGTGACTCACTGTCGGCTCCCCGAGGCAGAGAACCCGGCAAGGGCGAGGAAGGAACGTCCTAATAGCAGTCTCCAATTCCCGCAGCCAGGAGACAGAACTCAAGGGGTCTGGCTTGCTGGGGGCAATGATTGACTCATCTCATTTATACGGACTAGGGACGGACCCTCAGGTGTGAATGGACACGCACCAGGGCTCTCTTACTCATGTTCCCCACGTAAAGTAAAACGTGTGTTCAATCTCCGCTTTAGAGTGAAAGCCTTACAAGGGCAGGGAGCGTTTTCGTAGGGGCCAGGAAGCACCTAGGACATTCTTCTTCTTCGTACCCACACTGAAAGGCTTGGTGGGAGGGAGAGGGTGGCCAAACCACTGAAGAGGTATTTCTGTTGTACTCAGCAGATTACATTTGCTTGGGTAGGTAGAGACGATCATTATTGTTCTAAAAATAACCACAGGAAAATAAATGCCAGGTGTGCATGGTTTTCACCAGGTGGGGGTGATGATCGAATGAGACTTGGTCAGTACACCTGGAAAAGTAAACTATTCCGTGTATTCTGAAACAGAACACAAATGTGTCCCTAAAAAAAGTTAAGCCTTTTTAAATTCAATATTGAAATGTATACCTAAAAGAAATAATTGTAGAGTAACTTCACAATGGGAACTAACAATTTATTATGCACTTATTATGTGCCAGGCACACACTAGAAACTAAATCCATTTTTTACAAGCTTACAAACATGTTTACATATATGTTTACTAATGATGCTAGTATCACCAAGAAACTTCAAAGTGATTCTTTAAAACATTCAGGCTCCGGAGCTGGGTAATTAAGAATCTGTTTGGCCAGCACGTTGCAGGAGTGTAACCCTCAGGACCAAGTTAAATAAGCCTCTTACTCAATAAGCTCTTTTGTTACAAAACACCAGGTGAGCGCCTAACCCAAAGATAAACAGATAAACATTCTAACTTTAATGTCCATCTTCCAGAGAGCTCAAAATGTTTTACAAATAACTTTTAGGCTTTGAAAAAGCTACAGTCCCTACTAAAATTAGCAGGGGCTAGAGTCTACAGAGAAGAAAATAAAAAGCAAATAAAGCGGGTAGAGACATCCATGCATAGAAGGGATGTACACAAAGCAGTGAGAGCCTGGCAAAATAGCCAAACACTGACAGGCACTCAATCCTCTAGGCAAAAACCTAAACCTTTCCTCATAAGGAGGGGCTGCTGACCTCAAAGTGTTACACTAACAGGGTTAACCACATGTGAGCCAGCAACTCTTTTAGATACCCAAAAAATATGAAAACATGTCCACACAAATACTTGTTCACAGTAGCATTGTTATAATAGCCAAAACGTGGAGTCAACCCAAATGTCATCAGCTGATGAACAGATGAACAAAATGCGTATACCCATACAAAAGAATATTAATCCACTATTAAAAGGAATGAAATACTGATGCATACTACAACACACTGAACCTTGAAAACATGATGCCAAGTGAAAGAAGCCAGTCACAAAAGACCACATATGTTATTCAGTATGAAATGTCCAGAACAGGGAAATCTAGAGAGACAGAAAGTAGCTTAGTGGTTGCCAGAGCCTGGTGGGTGGCGGCGGGGTGGAGAAAGGGGTTTCTTTTGGGGATGATGAAAATAATTTAAACTTAGATTTTGGTAATGGTTGCACAACTCTGTGACTATACTTTAAAAACTACTTAATTGTACACTTTAAGTGGGATTTTTTTTTGTATGTGAAATACGTATATCTCAATTAAAATGTTAAAAACAAAATTTAAAAAAAGATGGCTGCTTCAGAGCTGCCTCTCCTTCCTTACCACTTTCCACTCCCAGCCACAAAAACTGGTTCATTCAATGTGGCCAGTTCTTTAGATATTTGGAACCCCCCCACCCCCGCCAAAAAAAAATAGTTTAAAACAATTTCACAACATTGCAAAGAAAAATATTACTTGTGTGTTTACACACACACACACACACACACACACACCAAACAGTGTAAAAGAGCAGGTGGCTCTGAATCTTAATACAAAATAAGCCTACTGTACTCACCAAGAATGGAAGAGCCTAATTGCTTCTGTTTTACCCAATTCCACCTTGTACAGCACCTGGTAGAGATGACCAAGAACTGTGGAATGAATGAGAAGTATGTATGACCAGGTGAAGAGAAAGTTTATGGTACAGTAGAAAGATAGAAATTGCGGAGCTCCAAGGTGATTTCACTATTTAATAGTTGTATTATATAACCTTGGCAAAGGACAATTTTCTCCAAACCCCAGGCTTGCCATCCATGAAATGGAGATGACATAGCAACTGCAGGTTGGCTGAGCAGATTTAATCAAACCATAAAGCACCTGCAGAAAGTTATGATAATGATGATGAGGAGGAGGAGGCTGAGGAGGGTGGGCTGAAAAGGGGGAGGAGGGAAAGGAGAAAGATGATTATGTTCCAACAGTAAGGGGAAGATTTGGGGGGCAGGGGAGTCCCCCTGAAACCACAGTATTAAACCATATGACAGAATTCATGGAAAGTGACCACGAAAGCAGATGCCACTGAGATCCCAGGTCTGATCTTCAGTTGTTTCATTCTTTCTTCCCACGAACTTTTGTGAAGTTTCTATGTGTGTCAGGCACCACGCCAGGTGGTGGTAATGCAGCAGTAAACAGAACACACAGTATGTGTTCTCGCTGTGCTTTTCGTCTCTGGAGGGGGATTGACATCATACCAAAAAAAAAAAAACCCCAACCCAAATCACACAAATATATATCTAATTTAAAATTAAAATGCCATACAGTTAAAGGACGTGTGAGAGATTATAATTGGGGGACCTGATATAAATTGAAAGTGGGGTTAAGGAATACTTCATGAGGAAGTTACTTCATCAGTAACCAGAACAATCAGTGGGAACTGACCTTTACATAGGGGGTGGGAGCCAGCCTGTGCAAGCCCCTAGGATGGGAAAGGGTGGTACATCCAAGAGACTAAAAGAGAAGATCTGGGGGCTGAAGTCCAGTCAGTGAGAGACACTGGCTCAAGACAATACGGGGTGGTGGAGGGCAGGCAGGCATCCGGCCATGCAAAGCCTCATGGGCCATATTTAGGATTTTAGGTTGTATCCTAACACTATGGGGAGCCTTTAAAGATTTTCAATGTGGAGAACGGGAATCCAAGAAGGAAGGCTTTTGGAGTTGTCTGCGCAAGACGTGGTAGAGCTTTACCCTCCAAGTGACAATGCAGACAGAGAAAAATAGGCAGGTTACAATATATTTTAGAGGGAGATACTGGGACTTGACAGTGGCCTGGAAATAAAAATGAAGAAGGTGTCAAAGATAGGCTCAAGGCTCCTGGCATGCAAAGTTAGGCAGATGGATTTTAACTTCAGCAAACATTTACTTAAAGGAAAACATGCAGTAAGAAGTCAATGTGGCGGGTGGCGGTGCTGCTGGTGGTGATGACCAGGGTGGGCAAGAGCAGTTTCTGTTTCAGGCTCATTAAGTTTGCGGTGCCTGGAGGACACTCAAGTATGTGTGTCAGGCAGGCATTTTCATGTTTTGCTCAGTGCCTACATTAGTTAAAGATTTGAATCAATGAAAGTTGATCAGGTTGCAGTCTAGGTAAAATAGAGGTTAACTCAGACGAAACCTTCCCTTCATGTCGGTTCCTACATGCAATGTTGTCTTTCCGTGATGAGTCACAAAGTTGCTACCTATAAAGGCAAATATGGTTTCTGCTGAAATCTTTGGGTATGTTTCAGGCTGAGTCAGTTAGAATTAGGTTCAGGCACATTATAACAGAAAATCCAAAATAACAGTCGCTTAAACGACAAGGTTCTCTCTTCCATGTACAAGAAGGCTAGAGGTAAAAAGTCTAACATGATTCCACAGTCCCCAGGGAAGCATTAGCTTCCGTCCCCAGTGCCACTTTATGGTAAAGGGTGGCTCCTGTGCCTTCTGTGAAGGAAGAGGGGAAAGGATAAAAGCGGCCTCCCTCTCAGCTGAGTCAGCGCTTTTCTCAGCCTTCCTGCAGGTCTTAGACAATTTTTTTCTTTTTATTTCATTGGCCAGAGCATAGTCACGTGTCCGCACATCGCTGCCAGGAGAAATGGAAAATGTGGTCTTTTATCCAGGTATACTACCAACCACCCTAAGTGAAACCTGAATTTTCTTACAAAGAGAAAAAGGACAATAGGTTTCAAGCAGAAACCTAAGAGTCTCTGCTGCAGGCTGACACCTTTATGAGTGAGGTGTATAAATTATAGCTAGGGCAAAACATAAATAAGAGGAAAAAATGTAAGATACATCTTTAGGTGTCTTCCAAACTGCATTAGGCTGCTGTGTCTCATAAATATATTAAGGGGAGAAAAGCCAAAATAGGTTAAGCAAAAATAATTGGACCATATCACTGAAAGCCTCCCTGGAGAGGTAGGGCTGGCTTCTCAAGGCTTATTTCCACTCCAGCTTCATGTCTCTGTGATTCTCACCGCTCTGGCCTTCTTCTTGCTATTGACCTAAGCTTCCAGAAAGCTTCCTTCACGACAACCAAATGGCTTCAACACTTCCAGACTTACCTATCAGCAATATAGGTTTATATATATCAGGTGCTCCCTGATCACAGCTTCTTCAATCTAGACATCAAACCAGTTTAGGAGACTGCCATTCCCTAACTCACTTACACCTGGAGGCCTCTCTCTCAACTGACCACTGAGGCAATGATGGGGTAACCTCTGGCAGCAGGGGCCATTCAGGGGCCACTCTTTGAGCTGGGGGTGGGTTAATCCACCAAGACACAAGGATGCTGCATAATGAGTTTATGAACCAGTAATCTATAAAATACAATGGTGGCAGTTGCACAACCATGTGAATATACCTAATGCCATTGAACTGTACACTTAAAAATGGCTAAAATGGTAAATGTTATGTCATATGTATTTTACCACAACAAAAAATGTATAATAAAGGAAGAGTAGAAGACCTTCTCCTCATATATAACCACTATTAGCAGTTTGTAGTACAACCTTTCTTAAAAATAAATTATCACAGAATAATAACTGTCCAGATGTTTGATATTTTCACTGCATGCGTATTTTTAAAACAATTATTTTTCTTCACAGAACACCTAGTGAGAGTGCCTGAACTAGCAACCTGGGTAATGCACTTTGAGAAATACTATGCTGAGAGCACTACCCTGGATAAGCTCTACTGAGAGTCAGGCCAGTGTAATGGTTAATTTTATGTGTCAACTTGATTGGGCTAAGCGTTGCCCAAAGAGCTGGTGAACATTATTTGTAGCTGTGTCTGGGAGGGTGTTTCTGGAAAAGATTAGCATATGAATCAGCAGACTGAATAAAGATGATCATCTTCACCATTGCAAGTGGGCATCATCATCCAATCTATTGAGGACCTGAATAGAGCAAAAAGGCAGAGGAAGGGCAAATTCGCTCTCTCCTTGAGCTGGGACGTTCATCTTCTCCTGCCCCCAGACATCGGTGCTCCTGGTTCTCCAGCCTTCAGACATGGACAGGGACTTACACCACTGGCTTTCCTGGTTCTCCAGCTTGCAGATGGCAGATGATGGGACTTCTTGGCCTCCATAATCCTATGAGACAATTCCTATAGTAAATATCAATCTCTCTTTATATTTCTTCATCTCTCTCTCTCTCTCTCTCTCTCTCTCTCTCTCTCACACACACACACACACACACACACACACACACACACACACAAGCACGATTCATGCCTTCATGCAATAATAGTCTCTAGTAAGAGAGAAAGAACATATCAAATAATTACAAACACAAATACTAAAAGAAAATGCTGGCTCTTTCCCTGCTGTGGAGTCACGCGGAGGCAGAGGCTCAGGTGCACTCAAAACGTGGCTCCACCTGTAGGAAGGCACCGCAGCTGGAGGTGAATGGATGTTAATACTGATTTTTGAGAGGTGCTGAAGACCGCCCGCATCCAGCAGGGCTTAGCCCATGGGGTTTGAGAAACTGCCACAGCCTAAAAGTGCCAAGCCCATCACTGTGCACGCGCATCCAACTGTGATGAGCTTGTGCATGGCAAGTTGGTGGAGGCTCGCTCTGCAGAACAGCAAGCAGCCTAATTTAGACTGATGACAACAAGAAACCAGGGGAATGGCTGGGCCTCTATGAAACTGACAGAGGGGAAACCCATACAGGGGCTCGTTGCCGTTGTATGGTAGTTAAGGACAGTGGCAAAGAATCTCAGGCCAAGGATATCACAGAAGAGTACTCCATTGCAAGAAATGAGCAAATAAAACTTGGTTCCTGTTCCTCAGAAAAAAAGAAACTTCTGATAAATTCTAAGAGCTGTGAATAGTGCTATAAGGTGAACTGGGCCTATTCCGAGATGTCAGTTGACCTGAGATCTGCAGGATGAGAAGTTAGTGGGTAGGGGTGAAGTGCATGTGATGTCGAAAGGGAGGAAGCATACCCATGGGAAGTTTTGCTGAAGAACTAGTATGAGAAACTGAAAAAGGCCTTGTGGCTGGAGCACCGCGGGCTGACACACAGCCCAGGCGGAGGAAGCACGGCCCCTCCCATCAGCCTCTGCGCCAGGCTCTCTTCTTCCCTGGAGGACACTGTGCCCAGCTTGCAGACCTCCTCCGGCGTCCTCTGATTGCTTCTAGGGAAAGCGTACCTTTTCCAGAACCCCTAACCCATCGTCACTTAGAAGAGTCTGATATGCCTAATAAGTTCTGGAACTATTCCATTTACCTAAGGCTACTCAGTCAGCAAATGTTGACTGGAGTGGGCAAGGCACTGTGGAGTGTTCTGCAAGGAATACTAAGGCGAGATAGTCCCTGATCTCAAGGCATTTGCAATCTGGCGTATCTGGTGTACTCTGGCCATGAGGAATAAGCTGACATATGGATAATTATAGCACAAAGCACCCTGCTGCTTAGTCCAGCCAGCCTGACAACAGCCTGGCTGAGAAGCGGACTTTTCCAGTGAAGTGGGGAACGGGTGTGTGGGTGGGGGAGGGGGAGGGCAAATATTTTCCAATTCGTGCTCACCGAAATGAAAATTCCCTGAAGGAATCTGTGACTGTCATCTTTTCAAGTTTAGAGTTAGAAGAAACTGGCTTCAGAAGATGTGGGTCAAGGCATACAGCCAGCATCCTTCCCAGGTGGAGCGCCCTCCCCTGCTCATGATGCAGTCACTGCTCACTCCTGCCCCCAGCACCTGGAGAGACCTGGTGTGGAGAAGACAGGGTGAGTCTATCGTACCATACCACACCATATCACATACGCTGATACCTATCAGCAGGCACTCCCGCGGCCCACACCTCCCTCAGGCCACTGCTGTGCTCTTTCCTGTAATATGTGGATGAACTGACCTAAGCCGTGACCTCGCGGTTTATTTTATCCAGATAGCAATGGATATAAAATGTTAGGAGGAATGAGAAGAGCTGAACAGTATGTCTTTCCCAGCACCACAAATGTCCCTGCTGTGACTCAGACCGAGGTTTACACAGGGTGACCCTCACCTGGGCAATTATCTAGGCACTGGAAAGCCCATCTGCTATGATGAGAGGCGCAGTCTCAGAGTCCATGGGAAATGCAGTCAAATCGAAAATGAAGCAAGTATAAATATTCACGTCTTATCTGTTGATCCAACAATTCCACACCTGGCAATTTGTCCTAAGAAGGTATTTTGTTTTGTTTTAGATGTATATGCTTAGGGCTAGTTGGGGGGGAGGGGAAGCAACCTAACAATTGGAAAACAGGAAAAGAAATCAGCATATATTAACTCAACAGACTCACCAGTTCATGGGCTTTGGGGCCATTAAAATGATCCCTTTTTTGCTCTCAGTGGTGAACACTGGCATTTTTTAATGCAGGGTCTTCATTCCCACTTCCCAACAACACCCTGATTGCCACCTGGGTAATCATTTCCCCGCGCTGCCCAGCCTTGGTGAAATTCACGGGCCTGCCTCACACTAGGGAATCCAGAGAGATCCCTGGAGGCTCCTTCTGGAAAGCCTGCCTCTCAGGCTGCCACCGCCAAGGGCTGGCACGTGACCTGCACTCAGCCAACCTGATCCTCTTTCCCAGGACTTTGACTCTTGTGAGTAATAAAGCACTGACAGCAGGAACAAAGTTCATCGGCTCTGGCCAAGAGTGTGAAAAGCAACCTGCTGCCTGGCAGGTGACCCAGCTCCTTCCAAGGCTGGTTCTTCAGGCTTCTTCTAGCACCTCCCATACTTGGAATAAAATGCCTTTTTGCTTAAATTGCCAGAATTGTCTTCCTTGCAACCAAAGAAGATTAGTAAATACCTAGCTTGGGACTATAAGGCAATGGGCCTTCAGGGGAATTTTACAGTACGGTATTTGGAAGTGGTTATCCAGCTGAGATGGAATGGAAAACAGTAACCGTCCCTTTTACATTCTGAGAGGGAACCTAGAAACCCATGGCACACACTGGAGAAAGGAGTCATTAAGTCAGCATCTGTGACCATGGAGCTCTAAACCGCATGGCCTTAATCCTCTGTGATGGGTAATTGTATAGGCCAACTTGACTGGGCTAAGGGATGCCCAGAGAGCTGGTAAAACATTACTTCTGCCTGTGACTGTGAGGGTGTCTCTGGAAGAAATTACCATTTGATTCAGTAGACTGGGTGGAGAGCCACCCTCTTCAATGAGGGTGGGTATCATCCAAACCAATCCACTAAGGGCATGCACAGAACAAAAAGGCAAAAAGGGGTGAATTGCTCTCTCTCTCTCTTCTCCCTCCCTCTCCCTCCCTTCTC